CATTTCATAATTTGTCATTTTGAATTCTTGAATCATACTCTGTTGTATGTTGTGTTTACTTCGATTTTACTTAATGTATGAGATACGGGTTCTCTCACGAAAAAAAATCAATTATTTAAGCCTTCTATTTCAGTGGTTTTGAAGTAGTTTGCATAATGTAATCGTAAAATTTAAATATGAGGCATTCTCTGGCAGAGAACGAACTTCGAAAAAGGGATCCCGAATAAGTTTTTCCGATTAATTCATTAAACCTGCTAATGTAATTTACTAAACGTGTTCGGAATTACAGACACAATTGAGTATGATATRTAATATTTGACATCTGAAAGTATTAATATCATTGAGCTCGTAAGCTGAAATATGGCGACAGTTAATTAATTATCCGGATTACAAAAATCGCACCATTCGAATGGTGCAAATTACATCAAATTTACATTATTTTGAACACTTACATCACATTTATTACATCAAATTGACAACCTTTAAAGTGCGCGATTTTTTTACAGTGTTCTGATAGTTTTTGAAAATGCAAAAAGCTAAATCTCATACATGTTATCTGATTCGTCTCACAAAAATCGCATCGTTCTGATGATTATTGAAAATAGTCGGACATGACATGCAATTTTTGTCAGCGGCCTTTTGCGTAACTAAGCGCGAAGAGGCAATCGAGGTAAGGTGAGGTAAAAATTGCATGTTAGAGCGGATTTCGTATGAGTAGGAAACGGACGGTACTGTACTGTGACCGTAATCGTACTGTAACCAAATTCTAGTGCCCCATTGGTTCACCAAAATTTTGCAGGCCAGGTCCGGTAACTGTGCGGTAACCGTGCGGTAACGGTGTCCTACTCATATGAAATCCGCTCTATCTGACATATAGAGTTAATGATTCGCTCTGAAAGAGGCTCTCGACGGGTTATTTAAGGTTTACGATTAAAATAAAAAGTTAATTATTTTTCAATGTTAATAATTGACTTTTTAATGTCACGAATTTGATATTGATCACAGTGTAGAGTAATCAGGTATTAGTATAAGGACTCAAAGACGATATTGAATAAAAACTGAATATCAGACTTTTCTTTAAGGCTTATTTTATGTATTCTCTGTCTCATCTTACATACGCTTAAGCGCCATCGAGATCCTCCTAAAAGATACCTTCTTTTCCTCCTTTTTCTGTTTGTTTTGTATTGTTGACTTTTTTTGCTGTTGTTGTTGTTTGTTTTTATTTTTTGCTGTTTCTATAGCGATAAAACTTGATTTCAATTGCGTGTTCGTTTCTCCATTCAAAATGCGTTAGAAAATACCAGAAAAGGGAATTGGAAACACTTTAGAGTAGTGAATAACGGAGCACAATGGCCGTCCTGTTACTACGAATTCTCAAAAATTTAGTGAGACAATCGTGTTTAGCCATACAACGTAGCAACAGCTTCAACGATTTTAGCACTTAGTGTCGAGTCACGAAAGAGCACTAGAATGTGGCTAAAAAGTTATAGTAAATTTAACAAATCGAAATCGCTTTTCGATGGTCTGAACGCTTATCGACAATGAAAAGGGCGTCAGCGGAAAACGATCAAAACTCAAGTGGTTTCACTGCCAAGTTTTGATCATTTTCTGATATCATTTGAATTGTCGATAAGCGTACAGAACATAGAAAATCGATTTCGATTTGTTTTTTACCATAGCAAAGCCGAAAACAAAACAAAACACAATACGCTCGTGCAACTTGCTTGACACAAGTTGCACGCAAAAAACGCCAGTGTGACACGGACTTAAACCAAAAACAAACTATAACTAAAACAAGTCATGTTCAATTTACCTTGCAATTCCCTCAATTCGTTATTCTTGCAAAACTACATGTAGGAATGCTGATAGCATTCATGATAATGGTCTTCAAGTCATCGTCTAAGACTAATATAATTGGTAGAGGTAATAAGTCCCCTCTATTATAATCCCTTGCAAACTCATAAAAAATTCAGAAGYACTTTAGAAAGTAGAATTAATTGACTGAAAAATTTGTTAAATGTCACGTTATGTTCGTCGAAAACTATTCTAAACCCGTTTGAAATCCAAGAAACACTCACCAGAGCTCGGTAAACTTATGTTGCGTTATTTACAATGCCGATATACCAGCTGTGGAGTGCATGAGAAATTATCCATGCATTAATATAMTTTTTACATTTAATAGCTTTTTGTAATTGTTCCTCTTTAATTTGAACTATGAATATAGATATGTACTTAAATTAATTTTATCAGTAAAAGATTCTCACATAAAAATAGATCGTGTCTCCRATTGGTTTCAAGCTTGCAAACGTTTTGTTTGGCGTCATCAATTTTTCTTTACTTTTGCCATTTTGCACGTTAAGACTTGTGAAAGACGCGTCCAAGATCCCTGACTATCATGSCAGTTGGATAAGAAAAACCCTAACTTTTGTTAATTTGTGCGATAAAACGCCAACATAAAAACTCTTAAGTTCCCCCTAGTTGATAGCGCTCCTAGCATGCGCAGTGCGTTTCTCCTCAGTGTCGTATTATTGTTAGTAATAAAATGCACATTATTGCATTTTGTTTTTCATTTTGGACACACTGTCCTTCGTACTAATTATCATGACGTGYATGTTTGTGGTAAAATTGAATAGCCTTCTCTGAAAGCCTCTATTCCTAGGATCAAAGTTTCCTTCGCAGTCTCCCCTTTTGTCGGGCTTCCTGTCTCTCCCAAAAGAGGGTGTATATGGGGACAGAAAGCCCGACAAAAGGGGAGTCTGCGAAGGAGACCAAATAAAGTGTTGCTTGCAGAGAGGCAACTGATTTAACAGGATCAACATATTATGTATAGCCAGTTTTCATTTTTACGTTTTTTACAAATTATTTAGAAACTTTGGTTAAGAAACGGCAAACCTGTATTRAATATAGAAATGAAAGAAAGTTATAGTTCTTAGAAAGAGGCAATTCCGGGAGAAAGATCCTAAGGAATAGATTTGGAAAAATTAATTTCCCACCTCGCTGGGATTCGAACACACGACCTTCGGATTTGTATGTACTACCGATGCTCTACCAGCTGAGCTACAAGGCCAGACTKGGGTGAAATAGATGTTAGGTAGCGGTAATAAAATAATGTAAAGATATGAATATGAGGACCGCATGGCACTATTGGCTAGTGATACTCATTTTTTTAATACTCATGATTAAAATATGTGAGACCATGTGATAAATTCTAAAACTAGAACAAAGATATTCTATATTTTCGATAGGATTCTAATGCCCTTCTTTGCAAATGAAGACTATCAAAATAAGAACAGTAACAGAGAGCTCAAAAAAGTTCTACCAAATCTTAAGAAGATTCTTCTTTCCAT